GTAAAAAAGTTGCAAAAAAAAGGATATAACAGAATTAAAGTCAGGGTTTCATATTTTTTATGATAATATTGAAACTGAAGAAGAGAATGATGAAGAAGGGGAAGAAGAGGTTGCCATGGTTGGTACTCAGAGCTCTAAGACCAAGAGGGCTTTTGGGTCTAAGAAGGCTCGTATGAGAGGGCCTATAGATAGTTTTTTTATACTTAGCCCTGAGACAATAATTAATAAAGACAAAAGAAAGGGGCAAAAACAGGTGACAATTGAAAATAGGTTTAAAAAAGAAGATAGAGCCATGGTGATTCAGTATATTGCTCGGTGGTTTTACCATACGAGCATTTCTTTTAACACTGCTCGCTAACTAGCTTCCATACAATGTTGGAAGCAATTGGGCAATTTGGGCCATGTTGAAAGCTCCAACTCCTTATGAGATTGGAGAGCCACTACTAAATGAGTAAGTCGAGTACACTAATGAATATCTCAAGACTCATAAAGAGAGATAGGCTAAATTTGGGGTGTTTTTATGATAGATATATGGAGTCATAGGAGGAAGAGGAGTAACATGAATTTATTAGTAAATAGTGCCACGGGTACAGTTTTTTTGCGTTAAATCGATGCTTTCAATGATGTTCATGATGCGCATTATATATTTTCTTTCATGGATAAAGGCATTGAGGAGGTTGGGGAAGAACTTATAATTCAAGTGGTCACAAATAATGCTGCTCCCAATCTAGCTGCAGGTCATTTGCTTCGACAAAAGAGGCCTCGCATATTTTGGACTCCTTGCACTGCACATTGCATAGATTTTATGCTTGAGGCAATTGGTGAATTGCCTCATATTAAAGGAATTATTTTTAAGGCTAAAGAGGTTACAATCTTCATTTACAGTCACATACTTACCCTTAATATGATACACAAGTTTACAAAAAAAAAAGAGCTAGTGAGGCCTAGGGTCACTATATTTGCCACTGCCTACCTTAATCTACAGAGCATGTATAAGAGGAGGATCGCATTAAGGTCTATGCTTGCTTCAGAGAAGTGGAGTAGGTGTAAGTGGTCTAGAGATGCCAAGGGAAAGAAGACACAAGATATTATTCTTTCGAAATATTTTTAACATAGGGTGAAGCATGCAATATTAGTATTTCTTTCCTTGGTGAAAGTCTTGCTCTTGGTTGATGTTGATAAGCCCTCCATGGGCTTTATATATGATGCAATAGAAGGGGCTAAGAATGAGATTGTAGAAAATTTGGACAATGATACAGCGAAGTATGCCCCAATTTTGGGAGATCATAGATGACAAATAGGATAGACAGCTCCATAGACCATTGCATGCAGCAAGGTATTACTTGAACACCAAATTCTTTTATGCATATGCAGATGCAGATATTGTGTCAAAAGGGGTAATTATGGATGGTTTTAATGAGTGCCTTGAGAAATTAGTTCCTGATCCAAATATCCAAGATAAGATATCAACTGAAGAGCTAATTTCGTACAAGCGTTCTTTGATGTCATTTGGGAAAGATATGGCATTAAGGCAGAGAAATAAAGAAGGTAATATTATTTTGGCATATGTAATTTTGTTTTATAAAATATAAATTTATATTTGATAATTTTCTTTCAAGTTATGGCAATGTTAAATACCTAAATTAATTATAAAAGTTGCCCACATATTGCAGCCCAATGGTGGAGACAACATGGGAGTAGCGCTCCAAACATCTAGAAGATGGCTTTGCAGATCTTGAGTCTGGTTGTGAGCGCAATTGAAGTTCGTTTTAGATGGTATTTTACTATTTTATAATTTTATATATATATTTTTTTTATAAGTTTATTTATTTGTAATATAGATTCATAAAAGGTATATTTATTTGTAATATATTTATTTGTAATATAGATTCATAAAAGGTAAAGAGATCATAGACCTATAGTAGTTACTTATGCATTATTTTCCTTATAAGTGCATACAAAGAGAAGAAATAAGCTTGAGCAAAGGAAGCTCAATGACTTGGTTTTTATTAGAGAGAATCAAATGCTCAAGGAGAAAAAACCAGCCAAAGAAGGACCCTATCTCTTCAAAAGACATGGAGAATGCTTCAGATTGGCTAGTTAGGGACCCTGGTACTGAGGAGGTCTTCCCTAGGGAGGGTTTGACATGGGAAATGGTCGACGAGGCTTCAGGGCAAGCTTCTGATCCTAGGAGGGCCACTCGAGCAACTTCTTATGCTGGTACTTCACGGTGGGAGATAGAGGAAAAGGAGGCAGATTCAGAAGAAGCTCTAAAAGAAGAGGAATACGTTGAAGAGGGTAATGATTCTGATGATGATGGCCTCAATTCTGATGCAGATGAAAGCAATGAAGATGATGATTCTGATTCTTATTGATGTCTTGATTGTCTTCTCTCTTCTTTTGAAGTAACTTTAATACTTTATTGCACCATCTTGGTTTGGGCTTTAGACATTTGGAGTTTGAACGATTTTTATTTAGTTATATGGTTTACAATTTTTTTACCTTTTTGGACTATTTCGTTGTGTGGTTTACTGGTTTTTTCATAGTTTTGGAAGTCAGTTTGTTGATGACTTAGAGAGTTAGAGACTTGGATGTTATTATGGTTTATTTTATGGATATGGAATATGGAGAATATGAGAGTTGGAGACCTTACGTAGCCTATTAGACTTTTAAATGTTTTGTATGGTTCGAAATTTTGAATAAGTTTATTCTCAACCTGATTACCTGAGAGGCTGCGACATGTGATATGTTTGTATATAAAAACTTATGTTGCGAACTTGCGATATATTTGACACAAATATATGTATGTGCATTTAGATAGCAAATATATAAAAGAAACTAAGAATTTGCACCGCAGAGCGCCCGCCTAGGCACTGGGCGCCAGGCAGGCCGCCTAGTGGCCGCCTAGCGTTTTTTGAAACCTTGGGTAAAATACATCATTATATTGCTTCTAGATGATTGATAAGTATAATGAATAATTAATGGAATGTAGCAACCCATAAACTCCTCAACAACAAAGATTCTAATTTGTCAATACAAGGAGCCATGCAAGAATCTAATCCAATGTTTTAAAATGCAGGATGCGGGTGCATCACCTCAATGCGGTCAATAAGTATAAAAAATTCCAAAAAATCTCAAAAACTAGGTTAAAGCATGGAAAAATTATGAAGGTGATTTATATGATAGTAGGTGTCTAATTTATTCAACAAGTCCAATATTATCAGCTGTCAAAGACTCTGAATCCCCTGATAAAAGAAATTAAAAATCGAAAGTAGAAACTTGAAACAACTTTATGGAAGACATTAGAACTTGGAAGAAATCATATTATCAAACTTCTTCAAAAGAATGCCCAAGCTAATCCCAAATCGACAATGCAACCAACGGCTGGAGCAAATCGACAATTTTTTTCAAAAAAAAAATATCCTTGCCGATTATTTTTTCCCTCTTCGTTTAATCCAAAAACAGCCACAAATGTGGCTATTTTTTGTATTTTTTTTTTTTGGGGGTGGGGGAGGGGGAAATGACAAAAATACCCATGCTTGTGGGCACTATTTTCACCCAAGAGCTATGCGGTGCATATGCGGCCACATATACGGTGGGATGCGGTGCATATGCAGGAACATCCCACCAAAGCGCATATGCGCCCCTATGCGATGCGCTTCGGAGCACATAGAGCATTATGCGGACTCATATGCAGTGATGCAGCTGCATTTTAAAACAATTTTCAGACAAAAAAATTGGAAAAAAAATCTTTCAGTGCCACATCCCTTACAAAATCACTAAGCGTCTTTTCAACAAGCTTTAATCAAATGCCAATTGTTTAAAGCAACAAGAAGCCTATTTCATCAAGTGTATAACTTATAACAATCTCACGTTTCATGTACACCACTGTGTGTTCAACAATTTGTTGCATGTCATGGTTCAAGACTAACTCTTTGTGAATCTAGATCACGAGCACAGTCCAAAAGGCCCAATGCAAGAGTAACAATCTTCGAAACACCCATAACTCCTTGCCATTGTTCATGCAACCCAATTGTATATGATCTTTCTCCATAAGACGACTAAAAAACCAGTTAATTCAGATCCAAATCTTCTTCTCAAAATTGTTCATACAAAACAGAACTAAAAAAAAAAAGTACAAAATGGAGATGTATTTCAACATCCTTACTTTCTAAGTGTTAGGTTCACACATAAAATTTCAATGTGTATTTCTTAAATAAATGTAATCATAAGAATGATTCAAAGTTTCTTTCTAGATTAAAAAAATATAAAGAAAAAGAAACTCAGTTATTTATGAGATTCTATAATTCTAATCTGAGCGATAGAGGTTCAAATCAATAGCTAGCCTTCATGCCATTAGGCTTGGATGTCCATGCTAACTACTTCGTCCAATACATTTCTCTTTGAAAAGAACCTGACAATAAAGGTAAAATTATGTACCCAAGCGAGTCGTGGGGATGAAAAGGCCACTCAGATGGCCCACATATTCGATACATGGGAATTCTTCCCGCATATGGCAAGGACCCAGAAATCCAAGTACCGTCGAATAGGTAAAGCATTAGGTAAAATCTAAAATTGGTATTGGTCATTTCAGTTAATAAGTTCTCAAACGCTTCTTATGATTTCAGATTTTCAGTTTTTTAAACCAATGGAAACAGCAATTATCCAAACTCTCTCACAAGGACAGAAAACATACAGAAAACTAATGATCACAACAGATTCACTACCCTGGCAAAAATTTTGCAGATATAATGTGAACCCAATCGAGAGAAATTATCCCACCAGGGATCCCTGCAGTCCAATAATAGGAAACCAGGCAGCTAAATACACAAAAATAACATATTATAACTCGCGAAAAGCTAATGCGTTATGCACATATGAAAACATCAAATGGGTATTAAGAAGTGGCTCCAGTTGTTACCCTGATACCAATAACAACGGCCCTCAAAAGAAACAAATTGTTCTTTTATTAAGTTAGAAAAGAAATAGGTTTTACTCACCAGAAAGTATCCTTGAACTTTGATCCTCTACTTATAGCTGAAGTAATTCTTAACTCAATAACTGATTCCTATATGTTAAATAGTTGACGAGCTTGATTTATAATGATGAAGAAAAGCCTACTCAAGCCAAATCCCCAAATAATGCTGAAATCTTCCAATATGCTTGAAATTAATAATCCATCATCCTAGAGAGAGTGAAGCAAGCACAGCATGGCAATAAGATTATAATGACTATATCACGATCCACAGCCAAATCAGCAATGTGTCTTAAATCCTGCAACTATACTGGTTAAGAAGGATAAACGTCAAGTGCATGTAATCCAAACACCCCAAAAGGATACAATTCACCCATAAACACAATTAAGAACACGACATAATCCAGAGGCTTCTGGCCAAAATGCAATTTGCATTGGAAATTTTTTTACTAAAAATCTGATTAAAATGCCTATTCTTTTTTCATTTCAAATAATTAGAACCATGCATTCAATCAAAGTTTTTATATAACAAATAAAGTACAGTTTTTTTACCTGTTGCAATTCTAACTATCATAACTTGTTGTCCAGTGCAAAGAAAGGGATACACGAAAGAAAAAACGAAAAGAATTAAAAGAAGAAAGGATTTAGAACTTGTAAGAATAAAAGGAGCAATCTGAAAATTATAGGACTTTGTGCCGTTCATCACAAAACTCATTAACAAAATTTGACCAAATCATACCACACATGTTTTATTTCAAATTCATAATCAGTGGTGACAAAATCACATGTATTAGAACCCTTTACTGACTTTAACTCAACAAAGAATTTTCCTTTTTTCATCGAACCCACTGTAAGAGTATGTACTGGGGCATGAGAAGGGCGATGATCATATGGAGTGAGGAACCACCGGGTCCTCATTTATATTGCTGGTCACAGGAAGCAATCAAACATTGTGTACCATATGACCATAAGGTATACACATATTGATGCTGCATTGCCAGAGCTCAAAAAAGAGGTTACTTATATAAGATACAATCTCATGCAACTTTTCTTAATGCACACAATTGATTCGTGCATATCTGGGCAGCAATTTGAAATCCTATGAGTGACCCCTGTTTACACATTGTATGTCTATACTTTTTCTAACGATAAGAAACCTACGGTGAGTATGCGATAAGATGATTTTCAAAGGGAGGTAACTCCAAGAGCGGAAATTTTTCAGATGCCAATTCACACGATGTATTCATTATTTCGATTGCATCTTTCTCACAAAATGGCAGTCTCCTCCTGGGTGTCAATATGGAAGGAATTGCACAAATTTGTAAATGACTCCCAAAAGAATAAGGATGGTTCTCCAAAACGAAATTTGTGTCATCAGAGTATCAAAATACCAAAGAAGAATAAATAGTACCAGGAAAGAATAACTCTAATTTCAACGATTTATATCATCATCATCAACCTAAAAACCCTATAAAATACCCAATGGTATATCTAAGGAATAAATAGATCTAAAAGCTAATATGGAAAAGAACATAGATCAAAGGATCCCAAAAAACTAGATCAATGACTAATCAAACCCTCTATAGCCAGCTAAATACAAAACCCAATCCCTGAATTTCAACCCGACAGATCTACAACCAATCAACAAGACTAATTATCAAAAACAAAAGAGACATAGATTCACAACGCCGCCCAACCCTGGATCATGACCAATAATAACTATTCTAGACTCCAGACCAAACCCTGGGAATCCATGAAGAAACACATTTTGAAATTCAAACAAGCAAAAGTTGACCTTTCCTGGAAAAAAAAAACAAATCAAACAAGCAAATATTGCATCCCCCCTACTATCAAATTCCTCAATAATCTAGGGAGAAAGCTACAACTTATATGCAAGTCAAGAGATCCATCATCCGTTTACAGAAGTTTAATAATAATAATAAAGTCCATTTTTTAAATTACAATGCTTTCCCTCTAATAAAAAATCGCATTTTACACATACAAGGCATCAATTTTTCAGGGTTTCACCATCAGATATCATCAGAAACAATATGTAAACCAAAAATCATGCCAAGAGAGAGGAAAAACACCCAAGGGAAAAAACAAACACGATTTCTGAAAACTAACGCATAATAAAGGCGTAGATTTTACAGTGATTTGCGGAAGAGAAACTTGCAGAGGATTTGCATGGAGCATGGCTTTCAACCGAAATCCACATCTCGACCTCTTTCTGCAAGCTTTCTTTTCAATTCCTTTTTTCCTTTCTTTTCTTTTTTATGGTTTCCTGGGATTCTCTGTGTTTGAGAGATGATTTTTTAAGAGAGAAAAAGTACAATATTGGGTTTCTTGTTATCTCAACCTCTGTCTAGAGATGCAGAAATGAGAAGAATAAGGGGAAGGAACTCCCCCTTTATACTCCAAAATTTACTACTTCGTTTTAGAGAAAATTACATGCGTATTTGTTACGCTTCATTACGGTCTTATTAAATACTTTGAGATGTTCAACATCAAAAAATTGTTAGCACTTATTTTTGTCATTTTTAAATATTTAATATTCAAATTTTTGATATTTTCAGATGTTGAAAATACTTTATGATATTTTCAGATATTCAACATTTGAATTTATAATATTTTCAAAATTTCTGATATGTTGAAACATTCAAATTTATGATATGTTCAGATATTCAAATTTCGAATTTTTGATATTTCTAATATTTTCAGATATTCAATATTCGAAGACTTATTTATTTTTATTTTTATAAAGTTGAAAAAAACCAAGCATTGAAGCATCATACCCCATTTACTATTCTTTAATATATTAACCCACAAAGTTGAAGAGATTGACTCACTATTTGGACGTGATTGATACCGTTCTTACTTTTTCTTTTATGGTTGATTGATTGAAGTTTATTAACTATTATTTTTTAGGATATTTTATTTTGTTAATAATATTTATTGTGTATTTTTTATTAATAAAATGAATTTGTTTAATATTGATGAAGTTATTTGTTTTATATAATTATTTGTCGTTTGTATCGTGTTGATAAATTGTATTCCTTGTTTTGGCTAAATAATTGTTAAACTTGTTTTTTTGTGTTAAAATTTGTTGTTTATTTATGTTTATGTGAGTATTTGTTGTTTTATTTTGTTTGATGTTTATTACTCACAATTTTAGTAATACACTATTTCAATTTATTATGTAATACTCAAATTTTATGAACCCCAAAGTAATTAGAAATATCTCAAATTTTGGTAATTTTTTTGTATTGATTTTTTGTAACACAAATTTTACTATTCATTTAATACATTAGTATTGACGATGGCTACTGAGGGAGTGCAACTGGTATTCCACTATGGGGGGTCATTTGAAACGAATGCAGATGACGGAGTATTATTTATAAATGAGGAAAATTGAAGGTCACTAAATATAATGGGAATAGTTCATTGGAGGAACTAAAAAGTCATTTTGCTAATTTAACCAACTGTGATCCATGCAAATTAGCTATTATGTACCACAGCACAAGTCTATCTAGTGGACTTGATTTGATTGATGTTAGTGGTGATATAGATGTATCTTTTATGTTGGGAGGAAAATCTTCGATAATTGTAATATATATTGCCAAGCCACAACAAGAATATGTTGCTAAGGGCCCATCTTCAAGGAATAAGTATATCTACAATTTATTTTTTTATCTTGTATGTGCAAAAAATTTTGCTTCATCTTACACTCTATCTTTTGTCAACAGGCGGTGTAACGCTTTCCCTGAGTAAGATCAAAACATTCAAGTGGTGCCCATCCCTGAGCTCATACCAAAGCGTGATATGAAGGATATTGAACCACTAGAAAGTCCATGTATAGGAGTTGGTAACGAGGTTCAATTGAATGTTGGGCAATTTTTTGAAAATGTTAATGAATGGCAGTATCATCTAGTCGATTTTGCAATCCACAACAATTTTGTTTTAAAGTTTGACGAAAGTGAATTAGGACGCGTGTGGGCAAGTTGCAAGGCCGAGGGATGCATAGGGCAAGTGCGGTGCTTACGAGTTGGCAGTACCGCATACTTTAAATTGAAGTCTATGGTTAAGGAGCACACATGTAGTAGTCCAATGGGGAGGGTCCATCAACCACTAGTTCATAGTGATTGGGTGGCAAAAAAGATTAAAGACTGCCTTCTTGACCAACAAAAAATTAAAGCAAAAGACATTGTAAAGGATGTTCAACGTGATCACGGGTCAGACTCTCCTACATGCAAGCTTGGCAGGGAAAAAATATTGCTAGAGAGATGATAGATGGATCATATGAACAACAATATCATGACCTCCCCCTGTATATTGAAAAGATCAAAAGAACCAACCTAGGAACCGAAGTTCACATCCACATCGATGAAGGTAGGTTCAAAACGATTATTTATTTCTTATTATCCATGCATTATGAGTTTCGTTAATAGATGCAGGCCATTAATTGGTATTGATGGAACATTTCTAAAAAGAATATATCAAGGTATTTTATTGTGTGTCATCTCGCTATATGCAAATAATGGGCTCTTCCCATTGGCATTTACAACGGTTGAGTAGGAGAACTACCAGAGTTGATATTGGTTCTTAAGTATATTGAGTGAGCTATTGAATAGGTACCCTAATCTATCTGTCTTAACCATTATATCAGATCGACAGAAAAGCTTGCTAAAAGCAATAGAAAAATGCTTTCCTACATGTTTTCCATCATTTTGCATGCGACATATGAGAGAGAACATCAGCAATACTAAAGTATTGTTGATATTATTTTGGCAGGCTACTCGTAAAGCGACCATTGGTGGGTTTGAGAAAATAATATTTGATATACAGTGTGTCGACCCAGAAACATATGATTGGATTAAGAATATTCCTCCCAAATTTTGGACAAATGCCTATTTTCTAGAGTCTAGATAAAGTCATCTTACCTCAAACATGACTGAGTCTTTCAATGCTTGGATTTTATCGGCTCGAGAGAAACCGATTGTTACAATGTGTGAATAAATAAGGGTACAGTTGATGACCATGTTTGAAGAGTACAGGGAGTTAAGTAATACTTGGAGCAGCATGCTAGTACCGAAGGTCCAAGAATTACTTGACATGTGGAAGATGAATGCTCGATTTTTGCACACAGTTATATCCACCATGGACACGCAGTTTGAGATCAATTATCTTGGGAAGAAGTATGTTGTCAATTTAACGCATTGGACATGCAGTTGTAGAAAATGGCAGCTCAGTGGCATTTCATGTGCCCATGCCATTGCGGCCATTAACCATATGCATTTGGATCTCACTATGTATTGCCTTAAGTATTTTACCGTGGAATACTTTAAAAGGGCATTTGAAACTCCATTTGAGCTTGTCCCGGACGAATGTACATTGTTGAAAATCAATATCTAAGAACTATTTACTATTCTTTACCAATAGAATATCAAATAGGGGCACAAAATCACTCACACACGAAGCACTCTGAAACAATGAACAATAACACATAAAATAGAGAAGACGAAGAGAAATACATTGTTTGTGCTATTTTCGGATGTTCAACATCCGAAAATATGAAATTTTCGGATGTTGAATATTCGAAAAAGGGCAAAGTTATCTTTTAAAAAAAATAGCATTATGAAAGGTAAAAAATAGACAGTTGTGTAATAAAGGAAAGTATTTGGTGTAACCGTAATAACGTAAAGTATAACAAATATGTATGTAATTTTCTCTTCTTTTTATGACGGTTTATATTTTTCTGTCACAAAATAAACAACTCCGCGTAGAAAAGGAAAATTACTTCATGCGTCAGGGAACGCATTTCTATATTGAGTCCCCTGAGATATAAACTATCCATCTTTAAAAGGGAAAATATTATATAGTGTCGAGGCTCTAAACAATCAAATTAGAGCCTATCTAAAAAATTTTATTAGAATAGGTTGTTTTAATGCTCAAATATCCTCAAATTGATCATCTTGACATCAAGATGCATGGACATGAGGAAAAAATAGATTTCAAGTTTTGGAAATAATGTATTTTGTAATACATTTTTGGACCCTGAATTTTTAAGGTGTTCAAGTTTTCATATATATGTGATCTACACTATTTTTGAAGCTTTAAACTTTATAAATAATGATTAAAATATATTTTAAGGCTATCACAAGATTTCTAGTATTGAAACCACATTTCTCGATACTATTTGAAGGTAGCTTTAATTGGCAATAAATATATTTTAAAAATATGATTTGATCCTAATTTTTAGAGAATATATAATCTTTACGAGGGAGATCATGAATATGGAAAAAAAAATTGAAAAACTAAAAATAATAATTATATTAAGAAAACATTTGGACCGTTAGTTACACTTGTTTTTAGATGGACTACCTATTTGCATCCATCTTTAAGATTGATGTTTTATACCTCTGGAGCACATATTGTACAAATGCGATCCAGACCGCATGAAATAATTTTTGAAATACAAATGCAAATGGATGATCTATCTAAAAAAAGTAAAACTAATGGTTCAAATGTTTTTTTAATGAAATTATTATTTTTAATTTAAAAATTTATTTATTTTTCATATTCATGATTTTCATGTTAGAGATTATATCTCCTTAAAAATTGGGTCAAAAAATGCATCTCGAAAATAAATTTGTAGAGATATTCATTTCTAAATGAACTCATAGAAACCATATCCTATAGAAAACGGGCAGTGTATTGAAAAATAGGGAAGTGATCGCATACAACAATTTTATCATAACTAATGAAGGGCACGTTCTCCGCACGTACGAGAGTATTGTCTTAAGATTTTATTTTATTTTATCTCAAATCGTTAACTTTTGTCTCAAAAGGAATATTATTCTTCCGAAAATAAACAAAATTGAGTTTTGATTATGTAGCTCTAACTTGGGAGCATACGCTTGTCTCTTTTGGTGTTTGAAAAGTCGTCGATCTTAATTTTGAGTTGTCATGTTATTTATTTATTTATTTATTTATTTATTTATTTATTTATTGAATTCAATAAAACCTCATTCAAAAGCATCGTTAGTACCCCAGCCAAACCTCAACCTAGCAACCGATTTCATTTTAAAAAAAAACAAAAGAATAAGTATTCTTCATACCATTTACGAGAGTGACCCCTCAACGTAGTAACCAACTTTAGTATATACATAGCCTTTAAAAGAACAAAATCCTTTGAACAAAGGTGATCCCATATATATGGGTGCCCTTGGCATACGGATGCATCCGTAGCTATAGAGGTAAGGTGCACTTTCAAATTTTATCATGGTATATAATTTTGATGTAAAATGTGCTTAGGATTATATCAAAATCTATTTTTATATCTAATTATAAAAATTTAAACTTAAAAAAAGATTAAAATCAAGTAGATTT